CATTTCTGGGAAAACAATCTTGTTATAGTCTGGTAGTTCCGTCATTCCCTATCACAAGTTAAAATAGAAAAATAATGATTATTAAAGTACAGAAAAAAAACAAAACATCATATTTTAATTAAAATTATTGATCAGCGCCAACCATCACATACGCAACGTACTTCGGGTATTTTGCAAGTGTTCTGGCTACAAAAGGGGTTGTCATTTCACTCAAAATACGCAAAAAAAAGAAGAATATACATAAAAATAAATAAAGAAGAGAAGGAAGAAAACAGAAGAACTCTTTTCCTTGTACAACTGGTTCGATCTCCATACTTTTCGGAGTAAATGCGCCCAATAAATGGTTCTCAAGATAGTCTTCAACAGAGTCGCTGCCATTTCGTATGGCGAAGATCCTATGATGCGATGAAACTTTCATATAGCCCATTTTTCACGCGGCAGCCATGTTATATCCAAGGAGACAAGAACTCTTTGTGTCGGTTATTTAAACAAGTATACGGATATTTTTGAATCCGCAACTTTTTCTTTCTGGAGACAAAAATTTCCACGCCCACACATAGCCGGATTCAAATCGAATATGCCCGTCCACACGTATCCTGATACTTTTGAATGCGCAATTTTTTCTTTACTCGGACCGTCTTGAATACTCACGGTAAAGAACTGGACTCGATCTTGTGACGTCTAAAAGAATATCCGGATTTAGCGTCCACACGTTTCCGCGTACATAGCGGATTCAAAAATTTCCACTCTGGAGTGCGGATTCAAAAAGTTGAGGATTCGTATGCCGGATTCACTGGATCGGTATGGACGGTAGCCGTATCCAGAAGAAAAAAATTGGCGGATTCAAAAATATCCGGATACGTGTGGACGGGGCCTAACTTAAGCTGCGTTTTAAGAAGTCATTGGACATCCAGATCTCTTTCCTAGTGGTTTGATTTAAGTAAGAAAAATAGTGCTTTTTCAGTCTACGCTATATGCTTTATTGAAATTGTTCACGATAAATGGTTTTAGATAAAAGCGTTGGGCAAGCTGAAAATGCCGGGTTTTAGCGTTTAGAACGCAGTTTTCTTGAACACGGGCATGACTCCGTTTAAATAACTGGCCCTTTGTTTCTACACATCTAAAATTGTTCTCAAGTTTTATGTAAAGTGGTAGTCACCTGAAAAAGGTCTATTATTGTACCTCCATTCAAAACCTTAGTAGGTAGAGGAGATTTAGATCACTGAAGGCGACCAACATCAAACGTGCTGCAGTTTATGCTGAAAGCTCCCTGATATTGCACCATCCTTTGTGGTTGCTGAATAAATTATTACGACGTTTTACTTGGCCAATAAGTGGGAGCTTAAGCAGCAACGACCGCGACGGCCACGAAAACGCCACTGAAAAAGTGACGTCGCACTGCTTCAAACCTTATCGCGCTTATTCCATCTCGTTCAATTCGTCAAATGTTGGCATTTTTTCTGGAGTTGAGTTCTAAAAGACTGTATCAAAGTTCAGGAAAAGAAAAAGAAAGTCGTTGTCTTGTGTTCACTTCCTCTACAAAACGTGAAATAAAGGCATTTTCACATCGTAGTCGTGCAGTGACGGCAAAGAAATGTACCAAAAAGCGTGATGCACGCGCAAAGTTGTTGTTTTGCTAATCTAACCTATTGCAATTTTGCCCGTTCTCGTTGACGTCGCCGTCGTCGTTGCTTAAGCTCCCTCTTAAGATCAAAATGATACGAACGTTACTGAGCGTTGTGCACCGTCAGGTCCATAAAAACAAATAACAAAGGAGTCTGACGGGCTTCATAACCAATCCAATCTACCATCTATAATATTGTCAAAATCTAAAATGATATCATTCTTAAACCTTTCTCTAGTAGCCTGCGTGGCAGACACCGTTTAGCATTTTGGTAAAGGTTATAGAGCGAGCATGGGAACTGAACACGTACACGCGCGCGTCCTCGATTTTTCTCCTTTTGCCTTAAGGAAAAAACCCAGGGCCCGCTACGCAGGCTATTTTTGTATAAAATACGTTAGCTTTTTGGAGAAATTCTGCGAATTTTTAAAAAAAAAACAAAACTGCTTACCTGTCCTGGTCTGGGAGTTCCAAGCACCCTCAGTACACAATACAGCTGTGCAATATCACTTTCACCCTAAACATTAAGAGGGAAAACAACCCCACGATCATTCTATAGGTTATCACTGGTATTACGATTAGTTTCTCATCTCCCACAGAGATAGTAAAGCGAGCGAAGAAAGGTGATCGCGCGTGGAAATCGCCACCTTCGAGGAAGGTTACAAAAGAATTAAGGGAATAGATATCTCCTCGCGAGCAGCGATTTTCAGGCCGGTAGCGAATTTCGTTCCCTCAACTATCGCTGAGGAAAATGATGGACTATTCGTAGCCTACCATACAAGGTATAGCACAATTATAAAACCCTGCAAACTTGTCGTGCTTAACCATCCATATGGTTGACATAAAATAAAACCTCCCGTAAGCGATCACCCAAAAATG